TATCGTATAATTATAAGATCGAATACTTAAGATTAATAAAACACTTTTTAAAAATCGTTAAAAAATTATCGCCAAGTTCAGCGATCGTAAAAAAATACGTTCGGGCAAAAACATTACTTACAATATAAGAATTAATAATCATTTTCGCAAACATCACAATCGACATTATTCGCCGATGGAAAAAATCAAGTAATTATAAGTGGAAAACCAATATACATATAGATAACAAATGAGTGAAGAAGAGAAGACTTTATTTGATCAAAGTATACGAATATTGGCCTGATAATATTTACCATAACATAGTAACTATCAAATAAAAATATATTAACCCTACATCACTCGCGTGAGATGTTTCTAACACTCCATGCAACATTACATCTTAATTTTGTTCTATTTAATGATTTAAAATTAAATAAAGATTGATAATAATCTGTAGCCCTTTTAAATAATAAAGATAAATCCAAATTTTTTTTATTTTAATTATCAAACAATTTGCGCTAAGTATAATAATGTATATAAATAGCATTCATACATTTAGCAAATTTATGAGTCTAAAATGTTCTGGACACCTCACGCAAGTAATGAAAAGATTAATTATAAATACAATAATAAACGATTTATTAGGACCGTGTAATGTGAACACACAATAGTTAAGAAATAGTGCCTATATCGGTCGAAGCTGGATCTTGAGTGCTTTAAATAATTTAAATAATTTGTGAATTTACGTATCACAATTGTAGTCTTTCGAATTGCGCGCCAAATTGGTTTTCCGAACTGAAAAACGCAACTGAACTACTATAGTACTATCACAAATTAAATTGACGAGCAATTTAATAATGTGATGCTCGATTGGCGTCATTTTAACAAATCGTTTATTATCATTTATACACGCTGCCTGAAAAATGTGTATATTCCTACATATTCAATTATTGAGAAGAATATTACTAATTGTAAGACCTCGGTGATCTAATCTGAAGATTTAGGACGCTCGCATGGAATGCTAGAGATCCAGGTTCGACTCCCGACCGAGGTAATATTTTTCGCAATAAATAAATTTATTTACAGATTTCCAGCATATTAAGATCTCTTTAATGAATGTCTATCGAGCATCAAATTATTAAATTGCTCGTCAATTTAATTTGTGATATTACTATAATAGCTCAGTCGCGTTTCTAAGTACGAAAAACCAATTCGAAAGACTACAAATGTGGTATATAAATGTGGAATTATTCAAAGCACTCAAAATCGAATTTCGACCGATATAGGCATTATTTCTTAGTCAAATATAAATGCAGTAATTTCTTTGATCGACTTCTCGCTCATTCGAACGCATTTCGCAGGTCAGGTTTCAAGTCAAGCTTGGTTAAAAGGCCTGAAGGGATTTTGTTCTCCCCGATATCACCGATCAAAACAAGAAGCTTACCTTGACCAGGGGCGGACTGTGTGCAGGAGGATGATAGTGTCCCGGCGATGGGCTCGCGGGTGGCCCCGCGCCCCCGGGCGAGATGGCACTGCCTCCGGGGGTGAGAATCCTGGACTCGTGACTGAACAACACCTTCCCGATCTCTTCCGCACCTCCGCGGATCCCCTCTCCCCGCGATTATCAGCCGGTCGACGGACGCTCCGGTGGTGAGTGCCCGTCCCCGATCTCCAATCGATACGCCGATCCCGCCACTTCCCGCCACACTTTCCCAACCTCGTGTCGTTGTTTCTGACTTTGTCCTTAACTCCGCATGCGTGTTTCCGCAAATCTCGCCACGGGTCGGTTCGCCCCGCGCGGGATCACGTTCGGCTCCGCGATGTATCTTCCGTGTATCGCGGTGTCAGATCACTGTTCCGCGTTCGACAATTCGGGAAAGATACACTCGATACAAAGTGCTCTCGCAAAGACGAATTTGACGTACTACTGGCAATATACTGTCACAGGATTGTCAATTCATGCGAGCTTCCGAGCGATGATGGCGAGGCAAGACGTCGCGAACAAGCACGTCGGATTTCTGCCGGGAGTGACAGCCGAGAGTTCCGTTTCTGTCATGTGGGGACTTGACTGTCACACGCGAATGGAACTTGATGAGGATTCACGATATTCTTGCGAGCGACATTGATGGCGCGAGAAAATTGTCAGTGTGCCAGTTGGTGTTCAAAACGAAGCGATGTCGTCGGGATTCCGGCGAGTGGCGCAAAGTTGATAGTAACACTTGTAGAAACTGTGGAATGCGTTTTCCGTCTGTCCGAATAACACTTTCGCGTGGAAGAGAGGAACGATTGAATTCCTATGTGTTTACAGTGTCTACAGGGTCCTCTTCCGAGCGACAGCTCAAGCGGACATTCGCGCAACCGAAGTGAAATCCAAGCTCGAATTCTGATGCGTCAGTTGAGTCGAGTAGAGTAGTAGTTGGCTTCTTTCTCTTCTGTCTTTTGGATCTCCCACTTTCTATATAGAAAGGTCAAAGTTACACAATTTAATTTTTCTGAGTTCAAGGCAGAAGCCTCTATGAGGCCAATGGGAGGCAAGACAATCAACTTCACGTAGTGTTTGATCTTGTCGTTTCTCGTTGATGGACACGCGGTGAGCACTGCGACAGAAAACGACAGGACGGGGACTTCTTTTCTCTCTCTCTCTCTCCTCTCTCTCTCTCTCTCTCTCGCTCGCTTTTCTTTCTCTCTTTACCTGCTTCGAATACCGCCACGCTAACCGCAACACCGACAGAATCTCCAAACTGGTAGTGCGTCGCGTGACGACGACGTGTCGCGGCCGCGGTGGAGTCGCGGACGACCGACGTTCCGTCGCGGGCCGCGCGACGGGAAGCGTGTACGACGATAGGCGGAACCACGCGTGCGCCGAGCGCGCGGCGAGGCGTGGTTTAACGCACGTCGTGCACCGCTTCCCGTCTCTCTTCATCCGCGCGCTTGCCCTTCGCACCCTCGCCGCCGTCGTCGCCTCGCGCGGCCGGCTCGGCGCTCCCCGACGATCGTCTATCCGCGAACGGCGCGACGCCGGTGCCCTCCGTGCGCCGCCACGTGGTTTTATTGGCCAAATAACGCGTACGACAAACATCCCTACTTTCATCCCTCTCGCCCTTCAGCCCTCCCTGCCACCCCAGCCCTGTCCTCCCGCGAGCAGAATCTCTTGTCACCTGCCGGTGTGTCGTAACAACTCTCTTTCTCCCTCCTTCCTTCTCCCTCCTACCCATCCCCCCCCCTCTCTCTCTCTCTCTCTCTCTCTGTCTCATTCGCTCGCTATTTCTCTCATCCTTTTCTCTCCACCCCACGCCCTTTCGCGGCTGCATGTAGGCACTTTGCGCGAGAAGAGCGGCAATAGTCGTCATGGTGTAAATCGCGTTTACCCCAACCTGTCCTCTTTCCCCCTCGCGAGTCCATGGCGATCCTTCGCAGAAACGCGTTAGCCGTTCCTCGTCCTTCGCGCGCGTCCGCACGAGTCCCTCGCGAACGCTGCCACCCCTGAGTCCACTTTTTTTAAAACATGATTTTTAATACAA